TGGAGTCTAGGTTTCATTGTGTTTTTCATGTGCATTCATTCCATATTGAGTTGCACAATTCGACCCCTTGGCCATCATGCATCGAGATGCGTGATTGGTGGCACGAGGATCGAGGCATGCATACATCTGTGAAAATACATTGCTATGCCCCTTTCCTGCTCTCTGTTGCAGCAAATCAATAATTAGCAGCCTTCCGGAGCTTGGCGCGCTTTCCAAGAAATTATTGTGAAACAGAGGCTAATCGGGCATCGCTGTGGATTTCCGCGCAAGGCAGCCCAGACATGCATCATTCATCAGAGTCAAGGCAATCCCTAACTTGCATGCCAGTTTATAGCTTCCTAGATTAATTTGTAAATTAATTAGGATTTTTGTATCTATTTGGGACTGTAATTATTTATTTGGGACTGTATATTTATTCGGACCCTCTGCGCGAGGGCATAACTGTAATAAGTGTACGTGTGTGTGATGTATGTCTTCCAACCCACGTCTTTCTCCCTTTATTTACCCGCTTATGATGGTTAGATTAGGGCATGTTTCAATTAGCATACAGTATGATAGCATGTTTGCATTCATTCATCTGTTTTGCATGCACCGGGCTCGCGCATCATACTAACTGCATTGTATTTTCAATTCCAAGTTGAATACATGTTAGCTGTAGCATTTCATATGCCATGTCTAGAATAGCCGAGCCTGCTATAGTTGCATTTTTGCATGTGTTGCATTAGGCACTTCTGTATAATTAGGATCATGCATAGATTTCTAACTAGCTTCTTTTTTGGCTTGGAGTACCCGGTGATTTTATGCTTTAGCATCCTTGCATGCGTGTGAGTGACTGCCATGAATAGCATACTTACCATGAGGCTATTTGCTTATGTGATATAACTGCCTGAATGCCTGTGGGTGAAGGTTGGGTTACTTAAATTGGAACAAATCATTGACTGTGAGTTTTAAGCCCACTAGATAGTGGCAAAACCATCTTTTCTTAAGCCCACCTGAGGGTGGCAAAATCTGCATTTTAAGCCTACTTGCGAGTAACAAACCATCTTTCAAAAACAAACATGAAATGTTTTGTTCCAATTCAGGCGATCCAGTCTATACTTGTATACTGTGCGCATCACATAGTAATCTAGGCTAATAACCGGAATAAGAACGCATAATATTTTCAAAAATAGATATCATGGTAGTAGAGGCCGATCTTTGATCGGGCGAGCGGGGGTGCTCACGAAGTGACCTTCCTCAATCGTACCCAAGTTCCCGAGCCGAGGCAACTTTGGTGATGATGGACACGTGGCCTTAGGCAAACGGTCAGGAGTTTCCTAAATTTTCCCATTTTAAAATATTTAGGTGGCGACTCTGTATCTGGCAAAGCAGTCCATGTTTGGCACTTCTTTTCTAAAAATCTGTTTTCTCAAAACGATTTGCCGGATTTGGACTCTTTGGTTCAGATTAAGAACCGTGACAATTTCGAGAGTCCTGAGCTGTAGTGACCCCAAATGAACGGAACGGGAGCTCACCCTCCCGGGGCGTTCGGGGGACGTCTACAGCTGCCACCATCACCCAAAAATCAAACATATTAGAATCAATATCAGCACAACTATCATTGATTATCCGTTGTAGATTTGAGCCTGTGATTGAAAACATGAGAAAATTAATAATCTAATTATGTGTTACAGGTATAATTCACAATCAATTACAATTTACAGTAGAATATATATGACTACATGACGGATCATTTGTTGAAAAATCACTTTTGTATTATGTTGTTCAACTTGATCCTTTGTTCTATCTTCCATTACTAAAACTTTAATACATTATGATCAAATATAACTTATGTAATTGTTATGCAGTGTTTGATTTAATCTCTCAACAAATGCATCTTACAGTTGCCTCGTGATGGTAGGTATACAATATCAGTACAAGATGCAGCTGCAGAGCTTGCCTCGTGATGGTAGGTATACAATATCACTTGTACATATCAACATGATGCTCTTGTATCTTCACTTAGCACTTCTAATGCTATACATTTAAATATTACACCTTCTCTTACTCAAGAACAATATCCTACTTCTTTCATTATGCCTTCCTCCTTGTCTGTGAAGACATCTCCACCTTCTTATCCTTCACTTCTGACTGCTAGTAGATTAACCATGTCTCCATTTCCTTCATCTTGTCAAGACAGCCTAGGCCGCCTCTTCTTTCTTCTGCACAGAACCCCTACCCTAATCAGAAAGATATTCTTGCCCTTAATTCAGCATCCCCAAATTTGTCATCCTCAATTACTACTACAGCAGTTCAACCGCCACTATTGCCGTTACCACACTCTGTCTCTGCACAGCAGGTTGGCGAAAATGTTTTCTTTATACAAACTGTTCAATTTCAGATAGATCTATTGTATTTTGATTTTATCTGTTTTGCATCTATGATGGCGTCACTCTTGCCAATTTATCATCTTGTGTCATCATACTACATGATAGTTTACTTGTATTCGAAGAAGCAAAGTGGAGTGTACATGTTGAAACATGTGGAACACTTTCCGACACTTGTCCAAACGTGTCCTATTATTTTAATTTTTTTTTAGACTAGTATACGTTTAAAACACTTGGAGCACGCACATATTCATTGCTTAGATGCATGAAATACTTTGTAAATTTGAAACAACAAAAATGCACAAAAATGCACGCACCAATTTATTCATTGCTTAAAGAGAGAATTTGATTCAGCATGGAACAGTGATTATGTAATGTCTAACATGAAAGAGTAGCACATAAGGAAAACAATCTAGGAAACAAGTTTGAAAAAATAGAAAGCAGCATGGAACTTTCTCCACATTAGAATTGTTATAAGTAAATGGTTGATTACACCCCTGGAGAAACTCTTGCATGTTCAAGTTCAGTAAAATCTGACCGGATTTTATTCAATCAAAACCTTCTCAAACTTATTTTTTCTAATATGAATCAGATAGTAACTCAAGAAGCGCTATCCTTTGACACAGTCTTTCAAAGTTGAATGGATTATTTTCGGTCAACACAAAACATTTTCATACTCATACCTTTTTACAGCTTTCAGAGATGAGCTCTACGCCAGGCACATTCAAAGAAAATGGAGTTCGCAAAGCGCTAGTCAAAAGGTAAGAATATGCAACTAGGTCAACCTTAACTTTACTTTGTTTTAGGTTACTTCATTGTGACTTTGCTTCTATGCATATATTTTTGTGGTATAATGATGTGTTCTCATGCATCCATGACAATGAATTCACTCTTGTTTTTACAGTGAAGTAGAAACTTGCTCAGGGATGAACATATCCATTTCCCGGACAATTGATGATTGCCATCCTACCCAATTGTTAAGCGAAATGGAATTACTGAAGGAAAGGAACAAATGTATGGAAGGAGAGCTGAAAGAAATGCAAGAGAGATATTCAGAGATAAGTCTCCAATTTGTAGAGGTAGAAGGTGAAAGGCAACAGCTAGTAATGACTGTACGAAACCTGAGAAACAGTAAGAAGACTAGTTTTTTCTGAGATGGTGGAAACCTGAAAATGAAACTATGGAAAATATGTGCTAGCAGGGTGTGGTGAGTAATAGCTTTTTCTGATATGGTGAAAGCCTGAAAATGAAACTATAGAAAAATTGAGATTTTGGTCACTTTTATTACAGTTAGTTAATTGAAATAGTTCATTTATTTGCTTGCTTGGTTGATTAGCCTCACATGTTTATTTCCTACACAAGTTTGTTATATTTCTTCATATTGAATAGAGCTTGCAGGCTTAAAAATTGAGGTCTTACTAACATATTGAACTTGGAGCATTTACATTGGATTAAGAATTTTAAATTTATTTTTTTGATGCATTTGACTGATAGTGTAATAGGTATTTTTTGATGGCACAGAACATTTTCATTAATTTCCCTCCTGAGCAAGCGGTGTAGTAGTAAGAATTTGATGCTCAGGTTTATTTTTCACAACATATACTCAACTATTAGAGTGAGTGTTTTTGTTGTACTGTGCTATTTTAGCACTGCTAGAGCTTACACCAAAATACTTCATTACTGAAGAGGCTATGGTTTGTATGCAGAGACTAGCGTCTGATTTCCTTTCAAACTACATATTCTTAGCTGTTCAAAGCGTTGGTTCAATTCTTAGCTATTTTAGCACTGCCATTGCAGCTGTGTGCTACTATGTGATAGCTAAAAATATTCTTGTCTTCCCTCAATTATGTTCATAGGAACTAATTTAGTGACAATTGGTTGGTTACAAGTTAAAACTGGAGATGTGAAAGGCAATGATTTTATTTATCTTTTTTGGTGGTGGTGGTGGTGGTGGTTCACAGTTCTTAAATTTTTAACTTGTGGGGAACATTAGAGTCCAGGAATGAAAATTTATGAGTTGCTATTAACGATCAATTTGTGGTGTTTCTTATCCCTTTGGTATTCTTTACAGGCACGAAGCTGAGCTTGCTGCAGCGGCTAGCCAGCCTCTTCCTGATGATGATGACGATGCATTTGACTAATGCTCGTGGCTTTGGCTTTTTGCTATCATTTTGCGTGCTCCTTTAGTTAATATGAGTTCTAAAAAAAAAAATTCAACGCTATCGAAGGATTTGTGTATGAGAGGTGAATGTATCACGGAGAAGAGACCATTTTAGTTATTCTTTAGCCATTGTTTCAAGTCTGGTTGTGGTTGTGCTTTGTGGTAGAATTCTTTAGGCTGCCATATGGATGTTTTGAGTCACTTCAAGTGTTTGCTTCAAGATTTTAAATTACGTATGGATTTAAATTATTGACGTTGGATTAGACTTGGACTGTATGGAATTTGTAATATATATAGAATTGGATGTTGAAGATTACTTTTTTGGATGCTTGGAATTGAAATGTGTGCACGTTGTTGAATGCTTTAATGGTTGATAATATATTTTAGTCTTGATGAATTATATTGTTTTATACAGGGTACAGGTTGTAATATAAATGAATATAGGTTGTTTACAATTTTATTTTTTTTTTAAAAAACAAACAAAAAAATTATTTGGCCACCAAATGTTTTGGTAACCAAATAGGTAATCAAAAGTTTTGGCTACTAATAATTTAGTAGCAAAAACATAACCCAAAATGTTTTTACCACCAAATAATTAGTAGTTAAAAGATTTGAGAATGAGAGAAAGAAACTATTGGTGACTAATACTTTAGTGGCCAAAACATACCTTTTGCCGACTAAACTAAGATTAGTAGCCAAATGTGTACTTTCGGCGACCAATTATTTAGTAGCTAAAAGTGATACCTTCCCCGACCACAACAAGTTAGTAGCCAAAAAGCCTCATTCGGCGACTAATACTTTAGTAGCGGAAACATACCTTTTGCCGACTAAACTAAGATTAGTAGCCAAATGTGTACACTTTCGGCGACCAAACAAATTTTAGTCGCCAATACTATCGCCGACAGAGTAAAAGCGACGAGCTTAGCGACGAAAAATTTTGGTCGCTAAATCGTTTCGGCGACTAAATAAGTGACTTTTGGCGACCAATATTTTGATAGCCAAAAGTGACTTTTCTTGTAGTGGGGAGAGGCGTAAGGTTTTCAGATTTGAAGAAGAATAATACTCTCTCCGTCCTAAAATATTAGTCTCTTATTTTATTTTTATTGTACCAAAATATTAGTTCATTTTCAAAAATTAAGAACTAAAATAATATGAATTTCTTATTTTGCTCTTCTTTTAAATTCATTAACAACACAAAAAGTACAATTATGACACTTGATATTTCCAAAAAAAAAATGTATTATCAAAGGATAATTTTAAAAAATTAATATTTTTAAAATGCAATAATTGTACCACTGAAAGAAGTCAGATCTCTAAAAAAGACTTATTTTGAGACGAAAGGAATAATAAGAATAAAAAGAGTGATGAGGTGAGGAAGTGAGGGCAACGGAGAGTGGCTAGAGAGAGGTGGTGGATAAATTGCCATAGAGGGGCTGGGGTGAAGGTAACGAATGGGGCCAATAAAGGGCACAAGGGTGGTGGAAAGGGGTTGAAGGGATAAGAAAGGTGGTGGTGAGCTTGCGACAATGGTAGGCCAGTGCAAGTGATGGTGATGGAGTGATGGTATGATGAAAAACTAGGATTTCAAATTTTAGAAATGGTAGTATTTTTGGTAATTTTAGATAGAGATGCAAATGTATGAAATAATGAGTGTGAGGAGTATTTTTTGTTATGTAAACAAAAGCTCCCCCTTTTTTGTCATCACCCCCTTAATTTTTTTATTACATTTTTTTTGTAACATAAAATTTAAATTTTATTTTCATCACTAACCTTCCATATCCTAACCCTAACTATACCCCCACCCCAGCCGTATTCTCTTGTCCATCATCAGCCTTGGCCACCCTCTCAACATCTCTTTGGCCTCTATTCGCCACCCTTACCCCTCTCCAACCCCTTCTCTTGCTCTCATTTTCTCTCCATCGATATCAATTCTCTCTCTTGTTCTTCATCTCTTTGCATCGCTCTCTGTGTGTCAAATGGTTGCTGAACGTAAGGGGTGGTAGGTGAGGTGGGAAGGCTAGAAAGGGGAATGCAAGAAGTGGTGTAAGATGCTGTGAACTTGGCTACTAGAGGTAGGGATGGCAGGTTTGGTCAGAATGCTAGGAAGGGGTTGGCGGAAGTGGGGCAGAAAGGCTGGGAAATGGGCCTACTAGAGATAAGGGTGTTGGAATTTAGGCCAAGTTTGGGAAGACTAAATAAGTGTACTTTTTGACTTTTTTTTGTATTATGTGTAAAACAAGTAGAGAGGAGATGTTGATTGATGTGACCCAAAAAAGATAAAAAGATAAAATAAGTGCATTTTTTTAAGTTAGCCAAACTTGGCCTTAATTTAGAATTTATGTTAGATGCATTGAGATGTTTAATTCATGTATTTGAGCCATAAAGTATGAAGAGTCACATTGGTTAAATTCAATGTGTTTTTGGTGAATTGAGTCAGTCCATACAGAGTTTTGTTCCGGCTTTAAATAGGCCTCCCGCTAGTGGATGATGGGATTGGTCCCTCAGGGATTAGTCGAGGTACGCGCAAGTTGACCCGAACACTTTGAGTTATCAAAAAAAAAAAAATGTATTTTGGTGAATGTGTTTAGGAAAGTACATGAATGTATTTGACGACTGTACTAATACTGTGTTTGGTTGGAGTATTTGAGAAGAGATTTGAAAAGAGAAATGGAAAAGGTAAGTAAAATGTGAATAAAGCATGTCTATATTTCACCTAATTTCACCTATATTTTTCCTTTTTCTTTCTAAATTCCCTAACTAAACACAGCGTAAATCTTCTATATAAA